ATTTATTTTCGAATCCGTCTGCTTAGTTCGCAAGCACATTCAAAATTTATCCGAAAGACCGACTCGTAGATATCCTACAAGAAATTTAGAGACTGATGTTTATTTAACAATGCCCACTTCTGACCTATTAAAACATTCCATTACCTACAATGCCAAAAAATTGTATAATAACCTTCCGATGCAATTAAAATCTATAAATACATACGATAAGTTCCGAAGACTGGCTAAAGCTTTTCTTCTAGAAAGACCATATTACACAGTAGCAGAATTTTAAAACGTACTTTAGACATTTGAGTTCCACTTACAATGGCATTAATTAAATAATTAAATATTAAACTTTAAATTTAAATTTAAATTTAAAAATTAAATTAGAATAATTATAATGACGGATATTGCATATCCATTGCAATTGTTATTCCTATTTTGTCTGTTTGTTTCTGTTTGTTTTTTCTGCTGTTTAGTTATTTTTATAATATGTTTAGTATTTAAGTTACACGCTTTGTCTATAAAATTTTTGTAAATTTTTTTACGACAATAAAGCATATCTCTCTCTCCTGTGGATTTCCCGTCCTTTCTTCGTACTTCCTTCCTAAATAGTACAAATGAAGTATCACTCAACCCCTCTTCCCTATTCAATTTTGAGGGATTGAAGCGCCCCCTCATAGGGGGTTGCTCGTTCAAGCCTCAAATATACGTCAAAATATTTCCCCCGAAGAAAATCATCCGACGTATTTCGGGAAATTTTTCCAATTACTATGGGATAAGAAATATACGGGGTGGCTCGTCTGAGATGGAACACTCTGTATATAGGTAAAAAAAGGTGATATGAGGGAGTATACTGTGATTTTAAAGGGATTTTAATTCTTTGGTTACTAAATGAGATCAAATAATGTTAATTAACAGCAATTAATTGCTTTTCTGGAGTCATAAGTGGCTGAAAATTCATTATCTTAGATATTGAAATGAAAATTACATAAAATTTGAACATATGTAACATTTTTGACAATGTTGCCAACCCTGTATATAGTTGCAAAACTAATTTCAATTTATTTGGTACTTTATCTTACAAAAATAATAAAATTAATGTTATTTCTATATCTATGAACTTTGATTAAAAAAAATAATATAAATGTATCTTACGTATACATTTGGATTTCTGTCAGGTTTGTTTTTGTAACTATGTATTTCTACATTCTTACAATGATATAAAAACACTTACCATTCATTGTTTTTTTTTTTTAACTAGTTAAAATTGTAAATATGTTAAAAAAATTAAAATAAACAGGTTTAATGAACTATAGATGTTTTTTATAGTAATATAATTACTTATTGAAAGTAAATTAACACTGATAACTCGTTTTATACAATAAGTAAATAATAAAATTGCTACAAAACAAACTACGAGGCTCTTTTGAAAAGTTTTATAAGAAGCAAATTAAATATTGAGTTTCCAGACAAACTAAGCTAATAAAATATTTTCTGTTATATTCCAGGAATACATTATTTTCCAAACACTCGACTTAAAATGTCATGAAAAGAAAGAAAATTGCCTCTAAAAGCTAGTGCGATTTTTCCTTTAGAAGTTAGACTTTCAATTTTTTCGCGTCTTTTTTTGCGCACGTGGGCACATTATTTTTTTATTTTAGCTCAAAATATTTGAAAAATCTTCTTTTTGGTAATTTGGATTTGGAAAAGCCGAAAATTACCTCGAAATTTTTCTAGGGCTTCTCATTTTTCTCGTAGGGTCCCAAAATCGCTCGAAAACCCACTTTCGGCCTTATATCTCGTTTTACATGAGCCCTATCCGTTTTTATGGTCAATTTCGTCTTTTCCAGGCCATTTTTTCAAATTTTTAGATTAAGTAATAAAAAATTTTGTGGTCCAGAATTTACATCAGGAGCTTCTAAATATTTTTTTTTATAACTTTTATACTCTATTGAACCGCTCTCCACATGAGGTAAAAAAGGGACTTAACACACGAGTTTTGCATACAATATTTTTTCTACTATCTTACACTTTATCCACTAATATTAGAAATATAAAAGTAACTGTTTTTCACTAGTACGTAAAATATTTTGTTGCTATGTACAATTTTTGTCAAATTTTACTTTTTTTTACTAGTAAAGAGTTTTACTTTACAAACTAGTAAAAGAAAGTACAATTTTAAGCACTTTGTAAGCACATTATAAGCAAATTTTTAATTCCTTCAGAGCCTCTATTTCAGTCCGTTTTTTGTAAAATTTTCAAAAAATAATAATTACAAAACTATGGGTGGAGCAACCTTAATTATTTTGTAAACCTAAAAGTATTTATTTCGATTATTTTTATAAGGAATTAAAAAAAATAGAATTCTGTATGAAATATATGAAAATTTTCTGCTTTTTTTGTTTTAATAAATGTCTGGTAATTTTTAAACGGTTCGTCATATTTTCAAAATTTTCAAAATTTTCAATTATCCCTCGTTTATTCCATAGTTTCAATAAAGCGGCTAACCTCTGTAATATTTATAGGTTTGTTTATCTAAAGTGCATATCCAAAGGTTATGAATCTATCAATAATTATATTGAACATATTAGATTGTTTATGTAACCATATCAAAATCGGTAAAATAGTTGCATTATTTAAATTTATGCGAAAGAATAGTTTTTTAATGAAGAAAATTTTCAAAAAAATTTGAAAACTTTTAGGGCAAAAGCAAACCATCTATTTGAAAAATGAATGTTCGTGTGGAATTTGAACCCACGATATATTTAATACCAATCCATCGTCAAAATCATTATTATTTGTAAGTAACATTGTTTACCTTATTCATAGGTAAAATTTTAGTTTTCTTTTGAATCCATTTCGCTTATATTTATATAGTATTACAATAAGAGAGTTGATAGTCGTTGCTGACTAGTTAATAATTAAACCAGTAATTAGTGGGTAATGCAGCAAATGAAAGAGTACTTTTTTAAGTTTATTCCAAGCTGTCGGAAATGTTTATTTCCATCTTCAGGGAGACTAAAATAAAATAATACCACATATTATGATAAAGTAAGGTAAAAAAATTTTTTTGTCATCACTTACATCTTAATTAAGGTTGTTCATTTTGGTGGTATTATTAAGTTTAGTAAAAATACAAAGTAAAATGGACAAGCTGAAGTCAATTACTAGACACAGTTATTCCAGTTTTATCTTTTAATATACCTTTTATAAAAAGTATGTCGATGACATTATCCTTACACTCCCTAGTTGGGGCCTAGACGAGATAGTAAATACTCTTAATAGCTATGATCCATACATACAATTCACAATAGAAAAGGAAGATGAAAATTGCTCGGTTCCATTTCTAGATACCAAGTTCATTCGAACCCCAGATAACAAAATCATTATCGATTGGTATAGAAAACCTTGCAGTTCAGGTAGATACCTGAACTATCATTCTTACCATAAACAATCTATGAAAGTGAATTTAATAAAACAAATAAAAAACAGAGTTTTGAAAATCTCAGACCGGTCTTTCCATAAAAAGAATCTTGATATCATTTATAAACTTTTTATTGACAATTCATATCCAAAATCACTCCTTAATAAAATTATATACAGTACATCATATACAGTTAATGAATTCATACAAAATAATGAAATCACCCCAATTATTGAAAACCATGATCAAAACAGTGATAATCTTACACCACATACCCAAAATACTGCTCTACTTAATAATTTAAGGAACTTAGCTCCCAATAACATGAATTTAGTTGTTTCACAAGAAAACAACATACACTTTACCTCTTTACCTTACATCAAGGAGATCACACCTAAACTATCAAGAATTATAAATATTAATAATAACATTAAGATAGCCAATAAGGCAGTTCTAACAATAGGCTCAATCTATTCTAAACTCAAAGATAAAACCCCCTTAAAATCATTATCAGATGTAGTATACAACATTCCTTGTCTAGAATGTAATAAAGTCTATATTGGTCAAACACAAAGACCTATCTCAGGTAGAATCTCCTCCCACAGGAGTGATTGCAGACTACATCCAGAACGTTGTGCTTTGGCTGAACATGCTAATAAATATCAACATAATATAAATTATGACGAAATTAAAATATTAGCCATTGAAAATAACTACCATAAAAGACTTTTCTTGGAGATGGCTTTCATTTCACAGGAACCAAATTCTATGAACAAAAAGACAGATATTAACAATTTAAGTGTAATTTATTCTTATTTATTGGATTTGGACAATAAACCAAACCAAATTCATAATTTAAATAATATAGAGCTAATTTAATATAAAAATCACTCTTTGAACATTTAAAAAATATTAATGATATGTAAACATAGCATTATCCACATTTATTTCCTAACCTCTAATAACTTATTTATTTAAAATTTTACTTGTCATGTCAAATTATCAAATTGACCTTTCGTTATTTATATTTTTTATTTTTTAAAGTATCGTAGTTATTGTTTGTGTATAATATTATTTTGTAATTGACTTCAGCTTGTCCATTTTACTTTGTATTTTTACTAAACTGAATAATACCACCAAAATGAACAACCTTAATTAAGATGTAAGTGATGACAAAAAATTTTTTTACCTTACTTTATCATAATATGTGGTATTATTTTATTTTAGTCTCCCTGATGATGGAAATAAACATTTCCGAAAGCTTGGAATAAACTTAATTACTGGTTTAATTAGTATTACAATATATAGATGATTTTTGAAATGTATGACATCGCCATTTAGAATAAGGAAACTGATATGATTGGGCGCCAATTTCTAATAAGTTTGGATAGGTTGTTGTTTTTCTGACATGAGATGCGCTACATAATAAAAATCCTCGCATCGAAAAAAATTTATTGAGCGCAGCGCCATCTACATATTGACCTATTTAAAATCAATTTATATATAAAACTGGAGCTCTTTTAGTGCTCTATGAACTGGCTTTTACAGAATTAAAATATCTCTATTTTTTTCCAAAATATTCTGCCTGAGAGTTTTTATTAGTACACCCTGTATATATAGCATAAGTATTAGACAAAGAAAGAGAAAGGACACGTAACAAGTATGTCATTATGCCATTATTTTGGTGCCAAGCATTTTGGCGATAAAAATAAAAGTTCACTGTTTTATTTCCAACATGTTACGCCTCTGGTCAAAGAGCATTGATGTCATAATAGTACATAATTTCCTGTGACGTTACGACTTCTTTTTATACCTCTCTAGTCTTCATGACCTTAGTCTAAGCCATGGAGGCATAACTCCATGGTCTAAGCTCTATTTTATCAGAGGTGGGATCTGGTGTGTAGTTCTATGACATGACATTAACATAAACATATGCGTTTCGAAGGAGAATATATACAATTATTATTAATGTCAAATAGAAAAGTATCAATCAAACTATTTAATAAAAAATGAATTTTTTATGTGCTTCTGTGGTAGTTCTATTATTAGCTCCGATTTTTCTAAACCCTTCAGTGAGAGCTGATGAAGAAAAAGGTGAAAACGTCAATACTGATTCTACTGAAAAGGCAAAAGAAGAAAAAATCGAAAAAATTACCACACTTAATACTGACCAACATAAAACCGAAAGCGTTAAAACCACTGTCAAGATTAAAAGGAATAAAAAAAGTAAACCCGATCCAAAATTAAGAAGTGAAGATTCTTTAAGCTCACTAGCTGCCTCTTGTAACAAAGGTAAGAATGGTTTTTACGAACCAAGCAAAATAATGGTATCCTTGCTAATATCGGTAAAGGATGGCTACAAACATGTTTGTTCTGGAGTAATCTTGAATGAAAATCATGTTCTAACTTCTGGAAGCTGTATGAAAATTGGTGGCGAACGTCCAGACTCTGTTGTTGAAATGTGGAAAATGGGTAAGTCTAAACAAAATAGATTGTTTATGCACAATTCCTCTCAATAAGCTCTTAATACTCTGATCTTATGTATAAACGCGAGAATTTGACTGCCTTATCCGCAGCTCTCTTCTTGCAGGAGTGTAATCAAAACTCAGTCACAATTTGAATCTTTCAATCCACATAAATCAAATCTTAAATATAAATTGTAAATTTTCAGAAGCATTTATGGATGAGCATCAACAAGAAGATATAATTTACAATGGAGACGTAACGCCAGTAATTGCATGGTTCATCTCACAAATTGAAGCGGCTGTATTGAAATTAGGCAATCCAATCCAAGAAGGTTTGTTAGTGCATTATGCACATCTTCCAGGAAACGAAGTATCTGGCGTCTTCCATAATTTCTGCCCATCGATAATATCAATGGGATGGGGTTTCAAGAAAAACAAACCTTCCAAATACCTGCAGTGCGTAGAAGTACTACGATTACCAGATGATGTATGTAAAGAAGCATGTACGCAATTTATAGAACAAGGACAGTATGCATACGATAAGGAGTTAACATTTTGTACAGTCAGTTCTAATAATACCCAAGTCGATGTAGGTAGTCCCCTTATATGCAATGGTTACATGGTGTTTGCTATGACAATTGCATCTGAAGATCCATCGCTACCACAACTTAATTTCAGAGTAGATAAAGAATTAACCTTTATTTATAACGCTTTGGGAAATCCTAAAAAAAGATTGGGAATGATGAGATCAGCAGGATGCGATTTAAATATGTTTTATTTCAAATACGTGTCATTTTTTATCGTTCTTGTTTGTATAACTGTAAATTAAATGTTTACAAAATTTTCAAGATACAAATGAACTTCTGGGGATATTTATAATATAATAAAAAATATTATGTGGGCTGGTCTCATTTTATTAATGCTGAAAAAGTTTCATAAAATAGATGAAAATCCAATTAATAGTTATATATGTACAAAACTAGTCTGAGATTGAGTCCATTTAGACAAGCAAGTAAGGCGAGTAATAAGCGAGTAACAGGCGAGTTTGTAGATACTGTGGGGGGAAAATCTATATTAATGAGCTTTCTGACTAGTCCAGATTTGGTCAAAGGCTTCGAAAATCTAGAGAAACAGCTGATGAGATTTGTTGGAGTTTAATGCAGTGATCGTAGTAGTGTGAGAGAGAAGATTGCGTCTTGTATGGAATGATGAGGTCTGAAAGAAGATTGCGTCTTGTGTGGAATGATGAGGTCTGAAAACATGTCTCAGATTCTTTCCTTGAGCAGAAGTTCAAGGAGTTTATCTAGGACTGATATGAGAGAGATAGGATGGTATTTAATCTTAGGATTTGGAATCCTTGTCTAGTTTTGGAATTCAAATGATTAGCGGATTTCCAGGCAAGTGGAAAGGTGAGACAGGAGTTAGAAGTAGGGTGAGGATGGAAGAAACAGTTTCAGGAAGATGTGTCAATGGTCTTCTATATATGTTATCGGGCTTAGAGGTCGTGTCTTTACCAAGCAAGCATATTGGATGCCAGAAAAACGTTGTATTTGGTCTAATATCCTAATTGGTTATCAAAGTAAGAATTGTCGGGGGTTCTGATGGTGGCTTCACGGTGTGTTTTGTTGGTTAGTGATTTTTCGTTGGGGGTTGTGTGGGTTGCACCGTAGATTTTGATGTGGGAGTGAGTTCTGGATTTTTGACTAGTGATATGTCGGAATTTGTCCCAAAACAAATTAGAATTGATATTGATCCATTGTTGTTGTTTATGTAAGTTAGTTTGGAGTCTAATCAGGGCGTTTAGACGGTTCAATTCGGTTTCGATGACGGACATATTGTCTATACAATCGGCGCTATTGCAGAATGAGATCGGATGAATTGGGGTAGGGCTTTTTATGTAGTGTTGATGGAAGTAATCGGGACTTCAGTTTCAGTTTCAGAGAGGTGGAGATAAATTGGCCTGGGTGGTTGTAATAATATGAGATTATAGTCAATGGAAAGTCTATAGCTATTACATGTAGACCTGCTAGATAGGCAGGGAGTGCGTGTAAGTTTAAAGGAATTGCATTTTTAATTAATTAGTAACGCATCCCCAATAACAAATTTGGGATTTGTTTTGGTGGACAGCTTAAAACCCAGTGAAACTGGATGGGAGTTTAGACTTAGTTTCTGTTAATGATAATATTTGTAGATTTTCGGTTATTAAAAGGTTTTTAATCAAGGGCCTCTTCCGAGCGAGGCCGTTGTAGTTAACAGTTCCAATAAGACAATCCATTAAAAGGCAGGTTTTATTGAAGCCTAGACAAATATAGCTAAATTTCTATGACCATCGATGGTACATGAATGGACGGGATTAACAAACCTAATAATTCATCAATGGAGTCCAGAATATTTGAATAGATATTTTAAGCTCTAATGTCAGGTCAAAGGGGATGATTTGGAGAGTGACATAAATTATCTATCGGGTTTTTGTGGAGGGTTTGGTGAAGGATTTAGTGGGAATTTTAGTAGGGGTTTTGATGGTGATTTTGGTAGGGATTTTGGTAAGGGTTTTGGTGTATGCGTACCCATTTTATGATCTGTAAATGACACTTATATGAGCAGCCAAGACCAGTACAATGTAAGCAAAACTACAAAACAATTTGAGAAAGAGGGATTCACTCATAGCGCAGGTTAAAAAGAAAATGAATTACCCTGTATAATTTTTTGCAGTAGAATTATTACTGAAATATTTGCACACATACATAATAATTATGAATATCGTTTATGAATAATCTGAGATTTCGTTTTATGTTACATAATAAAAAAACTTTTCGTCTAAAAGCAACTGTTATTATTATTGATAATAAACATTGTATTCAATGTACATCGCGTACGATAAAACAACTTGTAAAGTACACACGATATTGCACTTCACAATTATCGATCTGAATTTGTTATCCTACAAAAACACAACATAATTTTCAAGTGCCATCGGCTACATTTTCGAGTACCTATGTATGATGTCGGCTAAATTATTTCATGATCGAAAATTATAACGCAAAAATTTACAGCAGGTTAAAATCATATAGTAACATTATTTACATTAGTGAAATGTTTAAATTATAAAACTTTATTTAGATTAGATTAAAAGGGTAGATAGGAAGTTAACAATGTAAAAGGAAAAAACTATATGGTGGTTAAAGAAAGTGAATGGACTTGGGGTATTTTCGATACTTTACACCTTTTGTAAAGTTTATTTTTAGTAAAAGAAAAAATTAGTCTCTGTTAAGAAACGATATACAATGCTTAGTATTTTAGTATTACCCATACATATATTCTTTAATAATAATGATATTATTTGAGTACCAATACAATCCTAAACAATGTATTTTACATTCATTCACTCTTAAATATTATTTTATTTATTCTCTATTAGTAATTTTTTGACTATCATCAATTTTCTGACAGATTACCTCGCAACTTACAAGAGAATATATATTAAAACATACAGTATGTTCGTTTTTTGACCAATCAAATTTATGAAGATTCTTTAAAACAAAATATTTTTATTATTTCACATTTTATATTCAATAAAAACAAAAATTACAAACAGAAAACCAAACTAAAGTCGTGTTACTGTAGCTCCTACCCTCTCGCAATGAAACGAACGTACCTATATAGATCTGAATCATTTTCAGTTTGAAACTACTCGTACGAAAGTATAAAAAGAAGCAGCAAGCGTGGGAATGGCGCAGCTTCTGCCTAGTGAAGTGAAAATTCTTGTAGTCCTGTAAATAGTTCCAATACTTTGTTATTTTCTATAAGATCTTTGTTGCGGAAGTAAAGGAAGTTAAGTTTTCCCAAATAAACTACTTAAAGAGTGTGACCGTTTTATTTCATGTGAGAAATTTCCAGCGAAGTACGTATTGACCAGTTATGACACGGCAACCAACAGGGATTTACATCTACATCAAATTCTACAACGATTCATGCAAATTAGTTAAAAATGCATATAGTCTGCTTTGAAATCCGAACGAGAGTGTCGCTTGACACGTAACACCAATAAGTACTGTATTAATTATTAACTCAGATAAATATAGTAATAATAGATAACTCACGGTCTGGATCTGTTTGAAGAGTTTTTTTATTATTTTCTTTTTCTACTTGGTCTCTGATGTGATTCAAAACCTAGAATTAGGAACGGTTGAAGTGATAACATGAATAAAAACACTAAAATATATTGGAAACATTTTTAAATTATGATTTTGTTATGAATTCCTTCGATCTTCAATGCGTGAAAAAAATGTTAGGATTTATTTTAATAAAATTATATTTTGGTTTATAAACGAAGGGCCACTGAAAACTTTACATTTTTTATTTTTCGTATTGATGAAAAGAACCACGTACATGTCGTTTTCAGTTTAGAGGGGGACACTTGTCAAGTGATTATACTATTACTAAAGCCCTTCCTATGGGGCCTAAGTATTGCATTCGTGCAGACAAGAAAATGTTCTTGCCCCCATTTTTTAAAACTTTTTTTCATGTTTCTGATCATTCCGAGTCCGAAAATGCAAAAAAAATTTCGTCTGGTCGTCTATGTGTATGTATGCCGGCACGATAACTCTATAACGAAAGTTTTGATTGACTTGCGGTTTTGATTTTCTTGAATAATTACTTCTTTAGAACCCTATTCATTTTCAGAATTTTCGGTTCATCCTAACTATTTTAATATCAATTTTCTTAAAATCCGCATATGTATTTCTTATGTGACAATATTAGAAAGTCCAGTTATTTCTAACGTCAACATTCCTAACATGATGTGTGAATGGCATTTAAATGTCAAATTATTTAAAAATGTATACTTCTTTTAATATTTATTCCAAATAATTTGTAATGTATCTCAATTCAGGCTTTCCAAAAATAAAGGTATAGCAAGACAGATAATATAATGTTCTTATACAAAGCAATTTTTTATTAGGTATATAAAAGAGAGGTAGTATATAATTTTGGATTACATATTAAACCAGCGAATTGTAAATAATAATTAGTAAACTTCTAGTCATAAATTTCCTCAATAAATAAAATTTATTGTTTATTTTTTGTAATTTAAGTACAAGCATGTTTCGGAATTTTTTTGCCATCTTCTGGTGCTGTCAAAATTTAATAAAACAGTTTAAAATTTTTAAAATAACAAAAACCTCTTCTTTTTGTGACACTGTGTGACTTTCACGTAATAATTAGAATGAAACAAACTGGGTATATACTATAAACATTTTAACATGAAAATTTTGCTGTTAAAATATTTTTTTCTAAATATTCCTTAATGAAGAACAAAAAGTTTTATATTGATATGTCAACATGCTCTTTTATCTAATACCATCTTATTGTTGGAACCAGGTAGCATGTAAACAGTTCTATCTGTATTTTTTCTATATATATGAAAGCTACCACAACCGTCATTATATTTATAGCAACGAAGACAAAAAAATGGCAGCGTTTTTAGGAGGTCTATTATTTCTTTCTTTGACCCAAAAATACCAGATAAAAAATCTAGCGGGTCATTTTAAAACTTTCACACACAACACCCACATGCTATAGTCTATTTTTATGTATGAGAGAGTATTAAAATAATAAAGCGTTCGTAATCCATAGACGTACCACTTCTTTTAATAGACAGTTAAAATATTTTTTGAAATTATTTCTCGAGTATACACTTATATTTTCACCTAATTAACCTGCTAATAACTTCTAAACAGCTGAAGGTAAAAAAGTGCAATTTTTTCTAAAACGTTTTATTTTTCCACAAGATATGTTAAGAACATTGTGTCAAACGGGTTATGTAGGTAAAAGGGTTTAAACTTTGACTTTTAAACAACCTTACGTTCATAAATAATACTTTTAATATAAAAACTACTTCTTA